ACATCCCGTTTTAAGTAAAGTAATTAGATAATAAATCAAGAACCCCATGAAGTAATTAATATGATTATTTTATATTATTAGAGCTCATTTAATTAATAATTAGTGGGTTGTTGGTTTCGGGATGCCAAATAACAAGATTTAAATCCCCATGTGTTAAAGTGTAATTTCAGGATTTGTTTGAAAAGGGTTTTAGAGGTTAAGGTGTGTTCGGTATATATTGTACCTAAATTGTAATGCATTATGAGAGATGGGGGTTATTTGGTAAATACTGGGTCAAAATGGAAAGGATTTTAAGGAGCCAGGGTTTAGATGGTAATTATTGGACTTTGTTTAAAACAATTGGAATGGGAGGGACCAATTTTTTCATTTTCTCCATAAGTTTGCATGGAGCCGGGTATTTAACTGTTGGTGTCCCACGCAAAACCCTAACCCTAAGATATACATTCAGCCGCCACCTTATTTCCCCCCACTTCCCTCCAGCTGCTGCCGTTTGCCACCCTTTCCATCCCGACCTATCAAGACCGCCGATGACACCCTCTATGGTCGAGGATATGAAGACCGATAAAGATTAACAGTCGAGCCATAAGCGATTTCTATCGTGGTCTTTTTTCCGGTGCAGGTGCGACCCCCCCCCAGTGAAGATAATATCGTCAGTCGTAGCGCCGGTGTGCTGCCGTTGCTAGATCATTGCAACTAGATGGTGGTAGCGTCCATTTGTGTGCGTGGGTTTTCAGCTGGGTAAAGCTGTGAAGAACAACCATGGCATCTGGCCATGGTGGCTGTGGCCTTTAACACTACTGCTATCCATCACTACGCCGCTAGAGCCGCTGCTGTCGTTCGTAAATCGCCATTCCCATTTGTCGTTTCGTCTGTGCGACGTTACAACTCCGTCCGCCACCAACTCAGCCACTACCACCATCGGGAGTTACTTGGTGGGTGTTGGTGTTGTTATCTGGACTCATGTATGTGCATACCCTCGAGGATGATCCAGTCAAGGTGGTGTATGGTGTTGGATTAGCCGGAAACCAAGGAAGACCACCATGACTGCAAACCATGGTGGTAACCGTCGCCTTTGTTGCTCTGCCACCACCAGCCACCGCTTGGTGGTGGTTGTGTGTGCGTTTTTCTTTGGATTTAGGTGTGTGTGAATGTGTGTGCATTATTTTGGTTTTCGGAATTGTAATTGTAATCAGAATAATAATAGAAAAAACTCCAAACCACCACCTGCCGCCACCGGCCGCCGTGCAGGGTGGCAGTGTGCTTGATTACGTTTGGACCTTGTTTGGGGGATGTTTGGACAATGTGGAATCAATGAAACCCTAATGGGCCCAAAGAACCCCTAGTAGGCCCAATGGAACCCTAATGGGCCAATAAGGCCCAATGTGACCTAAAAGCCCAACCAATAGACTAATAGGCTAGTATTGGGTTGGAAAACCCTAATTAGGGTTTGGATGACTCTAAGGGCATAAAATACTAATTGTGGAAATCGTTTGGGGCACATACGAGAATTAATTATTAAACCTAAATAATAATTAATAATCATTGGCAAAATTAACCTAAAAGCAACATTAGACTTAATGGATTAAGTCCTTAGTAGATTAAGTCCTTGATGGGTTATGTCGGAACACTTAACCCTAATCATTATTTCATGTGAAAAACCCTAATTTTAGGATTATGGGCTTGGACTTATTGGGACCCACATTTGGGCCAATGGAATGGACTTAGGTATTAAGCCCAATCACATCTTAAGAAATTATTTAGTAAAGTAAGGGACTTAATAGATTAAGTCCTTAATGAGTTAAGTGAGAAACACTTAAACCTAGTTGTCATTTTATGTGAAACCCTAATTTCACGCTTTGAATTGGGCCTTCCTAGAGGGCTTTGGTAATTGGACTATTAATTGACTTCCAAGAATAAACAAATGGACTAAATAATTATATGGGTTTTAGGATAACGCCCATGTGAGAGTCTTGGGCCCAATTTGGAAAATTAGACCATAGATGGGCCATAAATGGGCCTTTGTGATCATGTGATATTGGGCCATGGGAATTGGATTGGTATAATTGGATGGGCCTTAAGGAAAGACCATGTAGAGGTCTAGGCCTAATTTGGAAAGTTAGGCCATATGTTGGGCTTTGGCCCATCATTTGGGTTATTGGGCTTTTATAGTGTGAGTTGAACCTTGGGCTTGTAACCCAATTATTAATTGGGTATTGTTTGATGTTGACAGTGCGAGAATCTGTCAACCAGCAGTTGGAGTTGTATCTGCGGGACTTCAGCAGTGCTAGGTGAGTTATCCTCACTATACTAACTGGTCTAAGTCACAAAGGCTGGCCCATTGGATGTATTATCTTAATAGTGTTAGATGTTGATCATGAGTTAGTATTGCATGCTAGTGATGTATGCCATTTGATATGCTAGTTTGGTAGGTCTGTAGTACTACCTGTGATATTGTCTGATTTCCTGTATGTGTATTTAATAATTACATGTCGACATGTTATGTGGGATGGGTTGAGGTTGTAATGCTCTGTGCGGTAGCCAACAAACCCTAGAGTATTCCAGATATGAGCTGAGTGCCGGGTAGGCATTCCAGAGTCATATTGAGGAATCGGGAGCATTCCAGATACGAGTTGAGGGCCCGGTAGGCATTCCAGATATGAGCTGAGGGCTCAGTAGTCATTCCAGACTCGTACTGACGGCCCAGGGGTTAATCGATCTTGTAAAGTTGTGGACCCATTTCATGCTGTTCAGTTGTTATGATATGTTATTTGTTCATGTGTTATTTGATTGTATGTGTGTCAGTATTTTGGGGGTAACTCACTAAGCCTTCGAGCTTACACTTATTGATTATTGTTTCAGGTGCAGCAGATGACCACAGGAAGGAAAAGGCGTGATCGTACAACTCCTCATTTTCATGGGTTTTATGATTTGATTCTGGGGATACTCTGATGTGTAAACTATTTTGAAACCAAACTATAATAACTTAACGCTTCTTAAATGTATTAAAAAGTTTTAAATTGGCTTCAATTTTATGGGTGTTACATATGTGGAGCTATAAACAACAGAAGAACACCTTCAAATAAGTAATCTAACAGTCTTAAAAACACAAAGAGTTGATTAGAAACAAAACATGAAATAAAGATGATTTTGTCCAGAAAATACCAATGTCGTGGCCAAAAGGGTGCCACGTCGTGGGCCAAGCATTCAACGCGATCTGGCCGATTATGTTTCATCGCTAAGTTGTGATACTTAGATGTCCATGTCATAGTAAAATAACCGATATGGTTTGACCATACCATTCCCTGTCATCATCACGTGGTAACTTAACGTCCACGTCGTGGCTAAAGATCAAATGCCTAGTAGTCGATCAATGTCCTATCGCCATGTCGTGGCGAATAGATGCTCACGTCGTGTAAACTGATCAATTTTTAAAATGATTATCGATTGATAACCCTAATTTACTTGGTTTGGGTATGATTAAAATATCTATTGTGATTATCTTAACTCCTTAAGACCATTTCCAAGTGACCAAATTTATTAGGAAAAAAAAGGGACTAACCAACACACCAAGAACCAAGGATTTCGCATCATCCAAGGTTCCTTCTTGTGTGTGGACGATATGCATCAAATATAATAATAGAAATAGTTCATTACTTTTGGAAATTCCATAAACGATCCCAAAAATAGGATTAATAGGAGAAAGGCATCAAGAAATTCACCTCAAGTCCTCCGAAAAACACCTAGTACGCCATTTCTTTTCTTCTCTTCAACTCACTACCATGGGTAAGAACTGTAGAATGATCTTTCTTCAAGATGGAAGTTAAGAAGGGATTGTTGTTGGCTGCAAATGGTTGTTAAATCCTAGATTAGGACTAAGTGGAGTATAAATACATGCCAAAATTTCATTTTAGGCCTTCAAAGTGTGTAAAACTAACTATATGATCTATATGCATGATCAAATAACAATTTCTTACACTTAAGTCCCAATAGTTAACTTAAATCAATAGAAAAGTAAACTAACATGAAAATATAACATAACTAACCTCAATGACAAAATGAGAAAATTTAGGTCGTTATACTGTATCAAGTTATGAATTTTGTATTAAAATATGAATGATTTATATATGATTATTTGTATTAATTTTCTTGTGAATATATTTTTTATTGTATAAATATATAAAAATATATTAGTTTTTATTGTACTTAAGCTATCAGTTAGTGATTCTATATTCATAACTGATTTGGAATAAGTAATGATTATGATGGTGGCACATATATAAGGTAATTTATTATGTTATACTGTAAAATTTATTTATTAAACTAAAATTAAATTGTATAATTTATATAAATTTTGTGTTAATGCATGAATAATAGGATGCATGAAAAATACTAAATTTTATATTAAAGAATTAATATGTTTATTAAACTTTAAATGAATTTTTCAACGCATAACTTTATTGTTTTATTAAATTTTATATATTTAGATGCAAAAATTAAATAATATTAAAAAAAAATATTACCAAAAGAAATATGAATTACTTCCGTTATATTGTGAATACAAGTTAATCCTATAATGGTCTAATAACGGTCCAACAGCAACAAAGTTGCACTTAATTATATTAAAAAAAAAAAGTTTTATTTAATATAATATTAATAGTTTGAGTTATATAAATTACCTTAATAAAAATTTTAAAATTTTAAGTTTTTTTTTTCTTTTATTTGAAATATATATAAATATATGAGAGAGAGAGAGATATGAAAGCCCCCAAAACGGTCCAACAGCAACAAAGTTGCACTTAATTATATTAAAAAAAAAAGTTTTATTTAATATAATATTAATAGTTTGAGTTATATAAATTACCTTAATAAAAATTTTAAAATTTTAAGTTTTTTTTTTCTTTTATTTGAAATATATATAAATATATGAGAGAGAGAGAGAGAGAGAGAGAGAGAGAGAGAGAGAGAGAGATGAAAGCCCCCAAAACAAACAGCGCCTATCAATGAAAGAATTAAAGGAAAGAAGAAACAGCAGTAACAGCAGCAGAGAAAGAAAGGGTTGCTTTAATGGCTATGGCGGCGTTGGCAGACCTGAAAATTTTGGCTTCTTTAATGCTCACGTACAACCACACAATTGAATGACAGCTTCTTCTTTCGCTTCTTCAAACCAGATTTTCGAATTCAAGTATATCGGATTTCATTCAAACCCAGGAGTGAAAAGTCACAAAGCATTTATCCTAACACACTTATCTGTTTTTTTCTGTATTTTTCTTTAATAATTAAGCTATCTAGAAATAGGGTTAGGAGGGACGACATAAATAAAGTTTAGGTTTCATTTTCTTTTGCTATGGATTATTGTGAGTCACAATTGGTGTGTTGTAGGAGTACTTGTCATCCCTCAATCTTAAAGCTGCTGCAGAAGCTATGGCCGGCTTCTTCTCTTTAGGATCTGCAACTTACCATAGCCAACAAGACCCTATCTCTACTTCAAATCTCCCTTCAAATCCAACTCCTAATTCTAATCCCACTGAATCCAGCAGCTGGTTCTTATACGGTTCCACCAGAAGCACCCATGACCGCCCTTCCACCACCACCACCACCACCACCGCTACCAAAGATTTCGAACTATGGCAGCAACCCACCCAAGCTGATGTTTCTCATAATTTGTTAGCTGGAGCTGCTGCTTCTATGGGTGGCGGTGGTGGTGGTGATGGTAGGCTCATAAATTTCTCAGACGAATCCACCTGGGGATCTGCGGCTTTTGTTATGATGGGGCATGGTGTCATCGGCGGCGGAAGTAGTGCAGGTGGTGGTGGTGTGAGCTGCCAGGATTGTGGAAACCAAGCCAAGAAAGATTGTCCTCATATGAGATGTAGAACTTGTTGCAAGAGCAGAGGGTTCCATTGCCAAACACACGTGAAAAGCACATGGGTTCCGGCCGCCAAACGCCGGGAAAGGCAACAATATAGCTCCGCCACACAAGATCAGAGCCGCCGTCGTGTTCATCAAAACACCAAAAGAACAAGATCAACCCAAGATCATGATAACCCTAATATGCTTAATCCGATTACTGGTGCTATTGCTTACAATTCCTCATCAGGTATACATAAATTACATATATCTAAAGCTACTACCTTTTTTTATACAAAAATCAAGATCCTTTAGATTTGTTTTCTATAATTTTTGCTTCTTTGGTGCATTAGATATTCTCATATTTCTTTTCAAGAAAACAAATTCTTAATTTAGCTCAGATCTTTTAATAAAATTTTATAATTTCATGAGTAGACTCTCTGATCTCTAAAATTCTTGTGCTTTACTTTCTTAATTATTGATTGTTGTCTACACAATTAATTACAATATTATATTGTTTATCTAATAAGTGAACATCAATATTATATGAATGATTGAGTTCTTCGTTAATTGGACAACTTCCTAGCTATATATGTCCCCGTGAAGGAAAGTTGATGGTGATGATTAAGAATTTTAATATATTTTACACTTATAGTAGCAATTTTTTTAATAAAAAAAATACTTAAACGTGCATATTATATCAATTTATCTTTATAGATATAATCACTACACCCTAATTCGAAATGTTGTTGAAAAATGAAATCTTTATTAATGATTATTTATGTGTTGTGAAACTAGGGTTAGAGGTAGGTAATTTTCCCTCCGAAGTGACAACACAAGCGAATTTCAGATGTGTAAGAGTGAGTTCAATTGATGAAACCGATGATCAATTTGCATATCAAGCTGCAGTGAACATAGGAGGACATTTGTTTAAAGGAATTCTTTATGATCAAGGCCCTGAAGGGCAGCAGTACATGGGCGGAGACACCTCTTCCGGTGGCAGTGCCGGCGGAATCCCGCAACTAAATCTCACAACCACCACCACCTCCCCTGGTAATTCAACGGCGGCAGCAAATTATATCGGGCACTCGCTATACCCATCTCTTGGTGGCAACGATTACATGAGCAGTACGCAATTCTTCCATCAAATTTCAAGAGATTAATTAATTAAACCATCAAATTATTACGTAATAATTTCGATACACGAATTCATTCGCGACTTGTTAATTATTGTTGTTCTTATGTTACACTTCTACAATTACCTTGAAATTTTGAAGGTTTTGATTTTGCTTTTTTTTGCAATTTAGTTATGGTACACATTTCGATGCAAAGTTGAATTTAAGGTCCAATATTATATACTCATGTTCTAAAATTTTCTTTGATTTGCATAGGGTAATGGGTTGAGTAGGAGACAATACCTAGGAATTCTGTCCATATTGTTCTTTTTTTCCCTCTTGGTGTTTTCTTTGTTTCTTGTCTAATAAAATATTAATTTTTTTTTTTTTAATTCTAAAAATCTCTTCTTTTTCTTCCTTCATTTACGCCTTAAAGCTGGAAACCTCTCTCATTGTCACTTTGAGCCCTCCAGCCATGCAAGAAAAGTGTAACCCCAAAATTCTCTCTTTCTCTCACTACAGTTTTGTCCCATTACAGTTTGTAGAACTTACTTACTTAGTATATGTGTACTTTTACAAAACAGGTATTAACCAAGAATTTTCTTGTATACTTTCTGAACTATATAGCTAGCCTTGTTACAATAAGGCGAGCTTCTTTTAATCGTCTAAATGCCTTTTGTAAAGCTTACTCAAGCGTGTTTAAAAAAAGTTTGACTTTTTTTATCGAGCCACAAAAGAACAGCATCTCTCCTCGTGTTTTTGAGTTCTTAAAAGGGTTAAATTTACATTTTGCAAACGGAATATCACGTTATAGGGTTTCAGAGTTTGACTTATCTTGGTCTTAACAATGGTGGTTTGGGTCCTAAATACAAAAGTACACTGGAGAATATAGTAGGTTGTTGTTGAATGTTAATCCGTTCAAAAATTTTAGATGAATTATTAACTTTAATTACTTGATAACATAAAATATTCGTCATTGATTTATAACAATAATTTATATCGTTATTACACACTTATTAAACTTCATACTGCTTGATATAGTTACTGCTGTTCCCATTTCAAGAAACACCCAGAATAGCATTCAAATCACCAATTTAGCTTATGAATCACATGTATTATTTGCTTTTTATAGTATTGATCATGTAGGGATCTACTATTTTATACCGCTTTAGTTTTCTAGGTTTGGTAATTTATTTATTTTAACAATCCATCCAGAAAAGATTTGAAGAAGGAAATGAAACCTAAAGAAAATAATGAGCCTTGGATCTTTATACTCCATATATTGAACCCTATATCTTTAGGTCAATATCTCAAAAGGGATTAGTTGTTGCTGAATTTAGCTTATGAATTCTATAATATACATCATGTAAAACTGATATTTTCAGAAACGAATTTATCTAATCTACTGTTCTTGTGGAGTTCTTACTTCTAATTTGAGATATTTTTTAATGTATATGCGTTAATCCTTGTAATATCAACTCGGAAAGTTTCTTTAAGTTTTATAGTATTACTGTTGGTCTTATATGTATTTACTTCTTCATAGGCTTTAGGTCATGGAAAGCGACTATCACTGATCAACATGCACTTTGTCTCCATCGCTAGCTAAATTAATTTGTCAACGAGGTTGAAACATGAGGTTTCATGACATTTATATATATCTATATTTATTTTCACCAAAATGAAAGCATTGTATATTAAGGAGCTAAATAATCTTTAGCATGATTGATTGACAAGATATGTTGTGGACCGGTCTTTCACCACAACAAAATCATCTACAGTTGTGCACTGTACTTTGGACATGAAATTTCATCTTTAAAATATATCTCCTCCTGTGCCATATCCATATTTATGTAAGGGTCATTCGCAGTTGGATAATTCTAACAAAATCATGCATTAATGTTTTAGTTTTAAAAGTATTTTATTTAAAAAGATTATTTTAGACACGGATTATACAATCATGCATACTTTAATTTATTATCAAAATGTGCAACATTTTTCTTATAAATTTCCTTAACTGTTCCATGTCTTATTTTTTGTCATCTTCATCTTACGTGTGGGTAAATCGATGTGGACCTAATCACCGAGGGATAAAAAAAAGAGATGGGTTACCCTGTGACAACTCACTAGAAAAAAGTTTCCAGTGAGTAGTTATTGACTTCTAGTGGTTGTTTGTGGTTGAGGTGGGGGAGACAGATTCGAATAAGGTTGTGTTTGTTAGAAAGAGTAAATGCCATCGCAATAGCATCCCAACCAACCGGTGTTTTTGAACAATGGAGGTGGTGTCGAGACTAATGAACATCTGGAAAATGGATAATAGTACTTGGGAGAACACGAACGGAAAGATTTTAAAATCGGGTTAAGTTAGTAGTCTATTCATTCTTCTTCACAAATTTCTCAACCGAGGAAAAACTCTCATGGTTTTTCGGAAAATATGGTGAAGTAGTGGAATTTTACATACCCATGAAGGAAAACAAGAATGAAAGAAATTTGGCTTCATTAGATTTACAAAGGTTGTATTGGTGTATAAATCTTATCAAGAGTTAAAGGTGTGTGGCTAGGATCTTTCACGATATTCGTAAGCTTAGATAGATTTAAGAAGGAAAAAAAAACCTTGGTATAGCCCCGAAAGCTCAAAAAGAAGCCGAACATACAAGGAATAAAAACAAGCAGGAGTATGGCAACGTATATCACCCATTTCAAAGAAGGAATGAATACTCATATACAGATGAAGGAGGGGACATGTGAAAAAAGACGATTATACTACACACCTCTCCTCAGCTCATGGAAAACATGGATAAAGATTCGATTAATGAGGCATCCTCTTTCCAAATTATACAAAACATTAATGCCATAAATTTTAGAATTAAGTGGCGTAACACAAAAACCAACTTTTGGTGCATTTCACATTTTTAATGAGTTCAACTCTACATCTAAAAGCCTCCAATTTAATCTGAACTAAAGGAATGCTAGAAACACAATTTGAATGATCCTTTGGAAATATACAATACAAAAAAATTTCATTAGCAGCCACAAAAAACGCCGCTAAACCATCGAAAATCGTGGCTAAAGATAATAACGACAAATCGCCGGTAAAGAGTTGTCGCTATTGCCCAAATCATCGCCGCTAAAGATATTTGTTGCCGGTAATAATGTTGTCGACACGAAAGGATGATATCGCCGGTAATAATGCAGGCCGCCGCCAATTTTAGATACATACTGATACAGAATATGAAAAAACATGAAACATTAAAATTTAGAAAAACTGAAAAATAACAATATGTCAGGTTAAGTGCTAAAAGTGTTACAATTTCATACAAGCCAAAATATGTACCATATTCGTACCATAAGTGTTTAAATTCATATAAAGTCTAACAAAATATAAACTGGTCGAAAGTGTCATCATCTTTACTCCCATCGTTTCCTCTTTGATCATCATTTGGTGGTTTCATCGAATGAATAAATTCATAAAATTCTGCACTACACGTCGAGTCGTTGAACATTTCTTGAAGATTCTTCAACCACATAAACAAAACTACCAAATTATTAAACTACCAAATTACAAAGTACCAAAAAAACCAATTATCAAATTTTTAACAATCATCATCACAAAACGAAATTACCAAATCAATAGGCATTTATTGATCGTGTGTGTCAATATATATATATATATATATATATATATATATATATATATATATATATATATATATATATATATATATATATATATATAGAGAGAGAGAGAGAGAGAGAGAGAGAGAGAGAGAGGCGGGTTCAACATACAACCTAAACCTATAATATTTATAGAACCATAAACTATTTTTTTGACCATTAGATCAATTTAAGACAAAATGTGTAGTAAATTAAATATTTTAATTAAAAAAGAAAATAATAGTTTATTAATTATGTTATTAAATTATAGCATTTATGAACATAATACCTTCAGTTATGAACATTTTTATAAAAAACCATAAATTGAACTAATGTACACCTAAATGTTTATTGATGAATATTGTAACATTCAGAATCCTAGGTATATTATTATAATATTTTATTTTTGAAATTTGTTAAGGAACTCTGCGAGTTGATGCTTAGACTCACCGAGTAAGGTCGCGGTTTATCATCCGGGTTCGCGTTGGACTCGGCGAGTCCACGCTGTTTAATGAAACACTAATCCTCCGGGGTTGGAGCCTATTTAAGGGCACTCTTAGCCTTCCGTTGCGGCTACCAGTCCCTTGAGAGCACCCTAAGTGAGCTAGATCGTTTGGGAGGAAGGAGAAGCCATATTTGATCTTTCTATCTTTGGTTTAGCAAGAAGAAGGTGATCAAGAGCAACAGGAGACTGAAGGAGGTGTGATTCTAGTGGTTTCAGAGTCCAGAGACTTCAACTTGAGGTATTTATTCGGACCTTCTTCAGTTTTGGTATTGATTCTTAGAGTTAGGGTTTCCTAACCTCTTTTGAGGATGATTATGTGGAGCAATCGGTCCCTTTTCGAGTTTATGCTTTGGATCTGGACTCAAAGAGGTCCAGAGACCTTCACCCTTGGAGCCTTATGAGTTATCTTGGGAGTTATGAGCTTAGGATGCCATTTTTAGGGCCAAATCACCAAATGATACCATCTAGATGATATATGAGTATCAAGGTCTGGACTTCACGTGATTATTATGCTTGGGAAGGACAGATCTATGGATTAGAGGAACAAATCTATGGATTAGAATGGAGGAATATATGATCCCTTATCTAAAGGACACGCGTATTTGATAAGATCAGTGTTGACATCGGCTTTTGAAAGCTACGATTGCAGATCAGGATCTAAAGTTATATGTAGAATAGTTATTAGACTTATCCAAGTGGGAGACTGTTGGATTAGTATCTAAGTCCATAACTATTTTGGTATGTACTTGACCCGATGGTGCATGGTCCTTTTGGGTTGCCTTCACCAAAACAACTTGATAGGATGAATTATGGAGAGAGAAAGGATTAATTATGATTTATTAATATATTATGAGAATAATATATTAAAGGAGAAATCATATTGTTTAATTAATATTAGTCAAAATTAATTAATAATTAGTTTTGTGGTTAAAAGAGATTAATTAAACTTAAGGGACTGGAACTATAATTATAAGATAATTGCATTTGGGCTATGGATCACCTTGGAATAATCGGTTGGACGAATTCTATGGGGAAACCCATTAGAAATCGTCCAAGGGATATTCTAAAAGGGTCCATGGGCTGCTTAGGGTTTAAGCAGTCAAATTAGGGTTTCCTAGATGAAAACCCTAATGGCCTACATGTATATAAAGTGCCCTTAAGCCCCAAAAACGTGGCTAAGAGTTCCACTAGGGTTTTTGGACGTTTTGGGCAGCCTCCCCTCTTCTCATTCTTCATCCTCTTGCTCTTGGTGTTTGTGAGCCATTAGAGGAGTGACATTTGTGACTCTAAGCTTTCTAAAGCCATTATAAGGAGGATTTGAGATTGTTATTGCTACATAACAATCAAGGTAAGATCTAAACCCCATTCATATGTTAATATGATTAATTGTATGCTAGATCTAGGGTTTAAAGTCTTTGATGAATTGCATGTACAATAGAGAAACCTAGATCCACGCATTGGGGTTTGCATGAGCACTTACGATGTTCTTATGGCCAAAAACCCATCAGGTACGATTCTCAATTTTTCATTATTTTTGTGTTTTTTGTTTTAGGTTGAGTCTTACAATGATCTTAGTAGGTTATGTAAAATTGGATCATTAGTGTTTCCTTCTAGTGCCTAGTGGTCAAAGACTCATAGATAATTTTAGATTTTGATTGAATATGATATGTAATAAACTTCATATCAAGTGCTTTGAGTTCGAATTAAACACCTCAAGATCCATTATATTTAATAAAAATAAATTCCATACTCCTACTAATAAGATCCATTATTAGTTTATCTTTCTAATTTCCTAAATTTTTATTATATTGTAGATTTTAGTCAGGAATTATTTCATTCAAGGATCAATGATGAGATATGTGTAGTTACCATCAGAGGGTATTGACATCGAGCAAATCCATGACGACACTAGATGAAAAGCGCATGGGGGTTAAAAATATCAAATATGTTGTCAAATAAAAATGTGAGGTCACTACATTAATCTCTACTAGCAAGGGGCTGACGTATTTGTTGTCGTATTTTGTGAAGAAGGCCAACACCCTTGTTAGTTGTCTTATTAGTTGTGATTACCTGCACCATTGCACGTCATCACCCTTTCTAAAGTATTAATTTAAAATTTTAATTTATTTTGATCTTGCTTTAAAGTTTCAAGAGCATGATTGGATGTTGTTATGAAATTCTAAAGTGAACGGTAAAATGGTTAAAATAAAATAAGTGATTATCTCACATTAATGACAAGAGAAAACATGGAGTGGGGTCCATGCATATAAGGTGTTAGGATCTTTTGTAATCTGCGCAGTACAAGTCCAAATTAAGGTGTTAGGGCCTTTTTGGTCATTTTGACAATTTAAGCGTTTTTTTGGCTTTTTGGTCTAGATCAGCATTTCGGTCATTTCAGCCTTTTTGGTCATTTTGACAATTTAAATTAGTATTTACGATATTTGAC